GGGGGGGGCACTGCCGACTTTTTTGTCACATTCTTTCCATGCAATGCCCATAGGGCATGGTACCTAAATGCCAAAATCAAAGCTGGCACGTGTCCCGGTGCCCCCTCCCCCCCCCCCCGTTCCACGTTCCACCGCCTATGATCATATACCCAGGCATACATATACCCAGGTCATGCACAGGTCAACCAGATCTTAGGCCTTTTAGATCTCTCAAGTCTCGGCTCTCGAAGTCTAGTCAGTGAACCATGGTCAACAACCGTCAAAGACTCGGGCTCGGAGAGCCTCAGCAAGCAAGCAAATCAGTCAACAGAATCCAAAGACATACCTTCATAAGGACAAGGCCATGTAACCAATATAAACCAAAATCGGAATCAGCATTGGTTTGCTAAAAAGCTATCCGCGAAGCGCATAGATATGTAGTCTACTATCTGTATCAAGATTCCTTGTCTGTATTGATATCTTATTATCTATGGCGAGGCGAAAGAAAATGGCAGCAATTACCTGATATGGTAGCTAAGTTGGTAGGCAGTGATGGCGCAAAAGTGTCAATTGTCACGCGAGAAATTCCGTTCCGTTGCTTGGGGGAAGTTGAACTTTGAAGTGGGAACGAAAATTGTGGCAGTTTGTGCATACTTTCCTTTTTTGCTGTGCGAATAAGCGAAAAATTGTAGTGAAAATAGTTCAGTTCATGCAAGCCCTAAAACAAAAGTTCATGCATACCCATTTAAAATCGTGAGTCAGAGTAGGAAGTGAACTGTGTTGGTGTAACTTAACTTCAACTTTGCATGTAGTTGCCCGTGTCAGTTGGTGACTTACCTACCAGGGAAATAAGCTAATATTAGAGCGCTCTATTAAGATTTTGCTCCATGTTGAAGATACCCTAAAGTGTGACCTTTTATTGGCCTTAACGCAGCAAGGCACTTCTCAGTTCTCTGACCAGTGAATCAGAATGGTACCGCTAGAAAGATAATTTGTCAAATATCATACACCAGAAAAAGTCAAAATCAAATTGAAATGTTTCTCAAGTGAAGAAATCAGTCCTAAGCATAAGTTAATATTGATCCTATTTTGCCACCAGCATTAAAAATAGATCCCCATTCACCTGATAAGCTAGAAATAATGCTGGCTTGTGATGCTCAAACAGAAATAATTTTCTCACAATCAAATTTTGTTATTATTTTTTAAACAAAAGGTTATGTTTCAGAAAAGAGGCTGATTTTATGTGGAGATATGTTTGTAATGTTGTATTTGTATTACAACCATACTCATTCAACCAATATCAGCCCAACAATTGGCTATAATGCCATGTAAGCTTCCAGTCATTTGTTGAATAATTCTGGAAAGTGGTGAGATCTTTTTAAAATCTGGTTCAATCCATTGTCTTGCAACAAATAATGGCCTTGGCTCATGGCATGGCATTGTCAGCTCATATGGAGCTATATACCTAACCTTACAAAGCTTACTTCCATCCAACCTTTTCTCTTTACATAGACTGAGACCAGCATCATGGATTCCTTTGATTGCCATTGACTGAGTGATATGAGACAATAGACACATCATGATATCCTTATGTGTTGTGAATCTGGACTTCTGGAGAGTGTTTTCTATATTGTGCAATAGCCAGTAACATATTATACCGCTACTTTGTAAGTCATGACGTACAGTTTGAATGAATTACACTAGCTTCTACAACACCTATGTGTTACAGGTCCTTATTTTCCAGCGGCTCAGTCCCGTTCATCAGCACTCAGTATGCTGAGTGTGGCCCGGGGCCTGGCGGCGCGGACCGGTCGGCTGACGGCCTGCAGCGGCGACCGGTGCGTGCTCGGGCGGCCGGGCGGTGCCAGAGGGCGGCCGCGCTGCGCACCTCGGCACCCCGGCCGGCGCCGCTGCCGCCGGCGTGTGTGGTGTGCTGCGACCCATCCCAAGCTGGCGCCGTGCTCTTCGGCAGGGCGTACCGAAAGTGGTGGCAGGCGCTGCCCAAGAACAAGCGGGCCGTGTTTATGGCCAGTGTGCGCAGAAATCGCCGCAAAATCGCCGGTGAGCACTGACTGGACGTTTATGTTCACCAACTCTCGTTTTATTAGCAACTGGAATGTATGAAGTATTTGACGTTTCTATCTGACGGTATATGTGCTACTCCTAACTGTCCTAATCCTAACTACCTACTGTGTATAACATACGCCGAGCACTTTGAGTAACCGATGTCAGACCGCCAGAAATACGAGAAGAAATCGTGACACAACACGCCCTTTTCCGAGAGCCCGCCGTCCGGTTTCGCGTGTATCCCAAGGTCGTGCTCTTGCGGCACCGGCTTATGCCTCGTCGTTCGCGGTCGCCGGACCGTTTAACACGGCTGCCAAGGTGACGCGACCGACCACCAAGGTGACACGGTCTACCCGGCCCGGTGTGACCCCGGCTTTACCCGACAGCCGCGTCGGCGCTGGTGGGAGACTGTCGCTCAACTACTACTACTCGCACCTTCAGACCACGCCCGTCCGGGACGTACCCGATTCGTAGCCTTCACGCCCGAGCAAATCGTGAAAATCTCGCAGGAAGGCTTTGAAATGGTGCGTACTGCAATAGGCAATGTGCTGGGCATTTGCTGTACGATGTATCATTTGCATATCGTGAATGATGATGTATGGTGCCTAAATGTCGTCAAATCTCGATTTTTCTCCTGGTAAATGCTGCATTCACAATCTTAATATTTCCGTCGTCAAGCTGCTCGTCGGCCTCTGCTTCCTGTTCGAACTGTGTTCCCCTCCCAGTGCACAACGCTCACTCTGTCCCCTCCACCCTCTCAGATGATCGAGGAGCACGCGATGGACACCCTACCTCCGGACCACGGCTTTTACCGGACCGTGGTACGCGTGGCGAACCGTCTCCTGTCTGCCAACAGAGACCTGGCAGAGATGCAGCGGGACTGGGCCGTCACTGTGGTGGCAGACGACGCGCACGTCAACGCCTATGCCATGGAGGTGAGCGGCCCCCCGAGATAAAGATAACTTAACTTACTCCTATATGACTTAACTTTGGCTCAGCGTGGACCAGAGGACATAGCGCAGAGATTGAGAAATCAGGCATAACAGAACGTCCTGCGGTAATAAGATGGTTGAGGTGTAATTTGAGACTGTTTCTGAGCTCCAGCGTGGTCTCGTTTATGTGCGCTTCTATGTGTGAGTTATAGTGCTGCTTTATATTTTAATGGTGGCTGCCAGCCAGTCTCAAATATTAAGCTGGTATTGCCTCACTTCATGTCTATTGTCTATCCCACCACTTGCACCCATCATTTCATCTCAAAGATTACCTGTGGTAACCTGAGCTGATTGTGTCGTTGGTTTGCAATAGGTGTAATGATCGCTGTATCGTGTTAAATAGCTGCGATTTCACAACATCTTGATGCCTGTGGATAATCGATATGTTTGTTGCAGTGTGGCAACATAGTTTGTTTACGGGAATGCTGCTGATGTGCGACAATGACGATCAGCTGGGCTGTGTTTTGGGCCACGAGATGGCGCACACCGTCCTGGGGCACTCGGTAAGCTATGCTCCTGAAGCCGCACCACTCCCCAAACGCAATCGATGTCCAGTCAGCTGTCGAACAATTAAGCTGTCGAAAATTAACAAACAGTCGAACAATTAAGAGTTCGACTGTTTGCATTGAGCCAGCTGGTTTAGTTATAACTATTTAAATGAAAATAACAATGTATGGTATTTGCTAAGATATTATTTATATAAGTAATATTTTGTCTGGTCCGCTCGCCTGAAGGTGGCTCTCGCTTCTCAGTGACTTCATACCAAGGTATTGCACCAATTCTGACCCCCTGTACTTACGTCTTGGCCTCCGTTTCAGGGTGAGCGTTTGAGCAAGGCGCACCTGCTGGACCTGTTGATATCCTGCCGCTGGCCGCCATCTGGGCCTTCCTGCCCAACGACGGCATCAGCGTGTTCGCGCACTGGTTCTTCCGGCAGATGGTCACACTGCTGGGCGACCTGCCGCACAGTCGCGCTCTGGAGACGGAGGCGGACGAAGTCGGCCTTCATCTGGCTGCTAGGGAGTGGGAGAAGTGGGGGAGGGTACTTTAGAGGGCGTGGCTCAGAAGTGAAGGGATTGGAGTAACCCTGATGGTGTTTCAGTGCAAATGAGGCAGACGGGGCTAGACGCATGCTTTAGTGAGGTGTGCCCTAGACGACGCAAGGGAAGGGTGGGAAGGGTGGGTGCCAACAGCGGTGATGTTGGACTTCAGCTGTGAAATGCGATAATAGATGTTTTGTTATGTGTGCGGGAGGATTTTACACTTCACTTTATTTTTGGCGTTTGCACTGGGACACTGGAGCAAAAGCACTGCCCAGAGCCCCGCCCGAACCATATGTAATTGACGTTAGAGTATCCTCATCCCTACGTCAGGCGTGTTTTGACGTGCGAGAGGCGAGTGCGTTCTGGGCCAAGATGTCGATGAAGAAGGAGCTGGCCGGAGAGGCGGACGTGCTGGATTGGCTCTCCACGCATCCCGCCGACGCCTCGCGACGGGAGGGGATCGACCAGCGGATACCGGAGCTGGAGCGGGTCCGGGCGCTCTGCCGGGTGAGATATGTGACTGGGCGCAGAGTACGGAGATTGGAACATCGTGTTATTTTATTTCTCACTCTCTGGCCTTGTTCAAGCCACGTGTCATCTTGAGCCACAGGGACTGGCCAGTGAAAATCGGTTTCATTTTCCTTGCTTTCCTACCTAAAGGTGGAGACAAAAGTGCTCCAAGTAATTATCGACCGATTAGTCTGACATCGGTTCCCTGCAAGATCCTAGAGGGATTCGTGAAAAGTAATATCATACCACATGATGATTAATAATTTGTTTTGTGACAACCAACATGGCTTTGTCCCAGGGAGGTCATGTACAACACAGCTTATGGAAACTTTGGAAGAATGGACACTATTGTTGGATGAAGGAGGAGCAGTCGACGTAGCCTACATGGATTTTCGTAAAGCATTTGATTGTGTCCCTCATAAGAGACTGCTCAACAAACTCAAAGCTTATGGCATCAAGGGAGATTTACTGAAGTGGATTGAGAATTTTTTGACTGATAGAAGGCAACGAGTTGTGGTGAATGATAAGAAATCATCTTGGTGTACTATCTTAAGTGGGATTCCCCAAGGCTCGGTACTGGGTCCGGTACTTTTTGTGTTGTTTATAAATGACTTACCAGAAGAACTAGATTCAAATGTGAAGATCTACGCAGATGACACAAAGATATACCGACGTGTTAACTCTGAGACCGATCATGATGCAATGCAGGCTGACTTAAACAAGGTCAAAGAATGGTCCGAGAAGTGGCAACTTCATTTCAATGAGAAAAATGTAAAATCATGCATCTTGGTAAGCAAAAGGAGTTGCAACCTTATACGCTAGGACAATCAGCCATGGCTGTTACGGAAGAAGAAAAGGATCTGGGTGTTATAATGGACAAAGAATTGAAATTTCACTCTCACACTGCAAAAGTGGCGAAGAAGGCCAATCAAGTTCTGGGGTTGATAAAAAAGGCATTTTCAGCCAGAAATAAAACAATGATTTTGCCACTATATAAAACATTGGTGCGGCCGCTCCTAGAATACGGAAATGTGATCTGGGGCCCTACATATGAAACCGACAAAGCAAAAAGAGAAAGTGCAAAGAAGGGCAACCCGCCTGGTTACTGAGGTGAAACATCTGTCGTATGAAGAAAGACTGCATGCGCTAAATATTCCGTCATTGAGTCATCGGCGGTACCGGGGGATATGATACAGGTGTTCAAAATTATGAAAGGAATGGAACGGGTGAGAGTCGAACACTTCTTCCATGACTACAGATACACGAACCCGCGGCCATAGTCATAAAGTGAAGAAACCAAGGGCAAGACTAGCAACCAGACAGCACTTTTTCTCAAGCAGGACGGTCAACAGTTGGAATGCCCTGCCACAATCCTTGGTAGACTCTCAAAATGTAAACCAATTTAAGAATAGGTTTGACGAAATTCAAACAAACAGCTCACTGTACTCAACTAGTAGCCAGTAAAGTTATGGCACGAGAGTGGACCAGTTGGGTTCACTTATAAAGTCAAGAGCAGGACCAACAGGGCTTATTAGTCCTCTTTACCTGAACATCAAGTACATCAAGTACATCAAGTACCTCCAACCGTGTTCTTCAATGCGGCCTTCATCTCGCCGATGAAGGTATGATTGCTGTGATCCTAAGTGTTCCACTAATTGAGAACGATAAAATCTCGGTTATCTCGTTCATGACGACGGCCTCTACACTATCCCGCTATCCGCATGCTGGCTTACTCCCAAGTGACCTTGACCTAACCCTTCGTCTTCACCCGAATTTGAAGAAATTTTCCTTTGACCTTTGGTGACCCTTGCTCGCATGACCTTGTGACCTGACGTGCCCCGATGGTCTGTTTCCAGTGTCACCCGATGCCGGAGCGGGACCCGAGAGCTGTTGTGGAGGAATTCCGTAAAATGCTGCTGGAGCAGGCCGCAGCCAGACGACCGCACCCGAAGAGCGTGCCTCTTGAACTACCTCGCGCCGGGTGGGTGTCCCCGATTTAGTGATCACTTTCATCCGATCAGCGGTCACTTTCAGTTATCTGATAAGGATTGTGCAATGTGCATCTCTAAAATTAGCTCATCAGCTCATCGCCTTCTCATCAATCGTTCCTTTCACTCCCTACCAATCACTTGTTAATGCCAACTATCCATTAATGAGGTTGGTATTTTCTTCAATAAACACGTTTTATGTAACCCCCCAGTTATGAGTGTTCGTTTTTCAACGAATGGATGGGTGGGAGATTTATCTGAGTCGGATTATGATCGGTTCGTCCAGCAGCCGAGCTTTTGGAGAAAGTGACAAGGGAAACCCGAACGAAAAACTAGTGTGAGGACGCAGCTCGTGTCAGGTGTTGCTAGGATCAAGTATCAGTTGTCAGGGCCAACGGCACAGCTGTGACTAGTGGTCCAGAATTTATCCTTGTGCTGCCTGTCGCATGTCGTTTACGTTAATGTGGCGACTATGCCGTACTGCATTTATGATTTTCATTCAGATCTTGTTTCGAACGAGGGCTGTGGGGAAGTAAGGATTGCGATAGCCTCCGTGCGGTACTTTCCGCGTGGACAATAATTTGACTTGGTTTCTGTTTCAGCTCCGGTGGATAGCTAACTACAATTATGACTGTGTTCAACCGAAACATACCCTGCACCTGCCAGCAAGCGCAGAGGAACTCGGTCACTGCCTTACTTTGTGAGTACGAGACGAAGAGAATCAGGTTGGAAAAGCGGCTTGCCACGGAGTTCCTATGATTCGGCTTCCCGTACGAATACATACCTCCAATATCGCTGGGCTCAAATTTCACGCTGCACGAGTCTGTGGCGCGTCGAAAACTGCATTTAATTCGACCGTACTGTGCTCATTGTTCTCCCTCGAAACTACCATCCAGAGTAGCTCAGGACATATAATGCCACGACTGAGTGTCGCCAGTCCTTTCGCAGATGTGATAGTGCAATCTGGTGCGTGTAGTAGATGGTGATTGGTGCAGCTGCTGGACTGTGCTTTGTTGGTGATTGGATGAACCTGGTGATAACGTTTTAGTCTATTTTATAGACGTGGTGTGACGCTTTAAGAAGTGAGTGCGGTTATAGTGAATTTGAGGTAATGAAGGTCGTTGTTAAAGTTGTTGAGACCGAGATTTACTGTTTGTTGAAGACCCTGTGCGAAACACGTATTGTGAGTGCGATTCTAACTAGGTTGACTGGTCACAACCACTCCATGAACGGATGAATTGTGTGCTATTTAACGTTTGATTTGGAATGAATTATTTTAGCCTGTTTGAATAAACCGTGTAAGAATCTTGCATTCTGTCGAACTCGAGCCTGCTACCGAGCCCAGATTTCCTCTGAATCCATCGTCCCAGATTCTTCGATTCATCTCAGCCCTAAAAAATGATGGCTCTATCAGGTGGATTCTCTGATTAAGACTTGGGATGCTTGGGCAGTTAATCTTGACTCTTTTAAGAAGGCTGAAACACATCGTGAGCATTGCTCTTACGTCCTTTTAAACTGGCATGATAAATTGTCAAAAAATATATATGATGAATGATGATAGTGCTTCACGTTCAAACGAAAAATATCTTGAATAGAGAGAACAACAAGGTATGATGGCAGCCAGGTTCAGGATGATCAGAAAGGAGATGACCAAAAACATTTCCATACAATGTATTCAGAAATTACATATTCGTACAAATAACTAAAAAACGACGAGCTATGCAAACAAAGAACCGAATACAAACGTTCGGACAGAACCATGAATACAACCAGCAAAACTTACTCCCAAAGTATGAACACTGGACATGGAAGAGGAAATTCGAATTGCACACAGCTTTCCACCGCGAGCAGTTTTCCATTTACACTTGTACACCAGCTTCCATCAACCTAAACATTAGGCGAGTCAACCGTTTAGCGAAGTAATGAGATCAAAACTGTAAGGGTTCTGATATGGTACCGCTGATTGTTAGTGATGACGAAACAGCGGGCGACGTTGCTAGATTAACGTCAGGCGACTCGTGTTCCAAAGGCGAGGTTCCGTGCCGTGGTGGCTATGAAAGAACAAAGCTTGCATGTCAAGTCAAAGAAGCGAGCGATGGCGACGCTCCAGACATGGTATCGCTCTCTGTGTGTGGCGAGGAAGACCAGAGAGGCATTATGTGGCAGAGACAAGCTGCCACCGTCATCCAAGCCAAGTACCGTGCTCTTCTGGCCATAGATCGGCCCTTTTGGCCTTTTGACCGCCGAGAGGAGTCCCAGCGTCAAAAGCAAGCAGCAGTCGTTATTCAGAACCGTTTCAGAAATCTGAGCGGTGTTGACCATGCGAGACACACGTGAGGCCTTCCTACTGCAGAAACAGGCGGCCGGGTCACTCTGCAAACTCGAGATGCCTATATCTTCTTAACATGTTTTTAAATAAAAGATACTCATGTAAAGAAGAGAAATATGTGAGGATATTTACAGACCGCCACAGATGCTGAACCGGTTCGCCAGAGCAACATAAAAAAACGGTACAAAAATACTGTCCGGTATAGAAGAACGTGTAGTCTTGGTCAATCAGTTTTGTCTTGATTTGCGCCAGACCGTCATGCCGCGCTCTGCGCTATGGACGCCTAACAATAACCTATCGTACAACCTTGGTTAGAGTACTTCACATTGTCTGCGTGGCGGCTGGAGACTGCTGCCGCCAGTGGCTAGCCTTTCCACCCGCACAGATTCGGACCTGGCCGGATTTATGCGGGTCCCGTGATGAGTAGAAACGCCCTAGCTGCACGTTTACAGCGCGTCCATCATTTTTATGATGGCGTCTCGCTCTTTGAGCGCCTTCCAGGCCGCCTCCCGCTCCTTCTTTGAGGGTGACTTCTTGCGCTGTCGAGCGGCCGCCACTGCTTGGTACGCCTCCTGCACCTGAAGAAGAGTAAAAAGGGAGATGGTGAGCGCGGGGGAATGTGGGGAGCTGGGGACGAAAAGGCTGGGAAGGTGGGGAAATGCGCAAGGGGGCGGTCCGGTGGGGGCAGAATATGGGAGGGCGCCCAGAACTATTGGAGATAAACTGAACAGGGGAGGAAGAGGCGATGGGGGAAGAATGCGACGATAGATTTATTACTATGGGTCAATCAGCACGCAATAGCGAGGGTGCTGGTGTGGTTACAAATAGTCACTGGTAGCACAAGAAATGACGTAAGTTGCACAGTGTAACTGTTTATAAAAAATCAAACTGGAATCCGGACGCATTACGGATATACCGCACATGGTACATCATAGCTACATGACGCGTTGTTACTTCAATCGCTAAAACAACGGTTCGGCGCTACAGTTCTCTCAACACCATCAAATCTCAGAACTGAAACAACCACAATCAACCACAGGACACGGGGCAAATCCCCTTCAAATCTCTCCTCCCTTCCGACCCCATCCCAACTCCCAGCCTCCCTCCCTAAGTTTCTCAGCTCCAAAAACCGAAACCGGACCACACCGCATCCTTTCGACCGGTCTCACCAGACCACGAGGGTAGGGACGGGGCCAATGGGGGCGCACGTGACTAATCCTCCGACCTGCACGTGTGCAGGTGGTTACCAGCATCGGACGCGTCACCGCTGCCTGAGCGGCGCTGGGTGAACGCGAGCGAGAGCGAGAACCGGGCTAGCGGAGCAGGTGATAGCGGGTTGTTGCCTGCCAGTGAGATGGACAGTTATGCCCGCGATGACAAGAAATGTTTGTGTATTAGCCATGCAATATGAACCTATGATATGAAGCGACTAGAAAGAGGCTGCAGTGAGTCGGGGAATTTATTTCACACCGCGGGTTCCTTCATGTTTAAAATGTAACTGGAAATATTGTGCAATGCACTGATAATGAGTTTCGCACTACGTTCGAAAAATTCGAAAACTGTTCAGTGTTCAACACCTACATCGAAATTCATGAATGGATTACTTTTCGAAATTTCTGATTTCTTGGCATGGTATCGATTTAATCATTTAAATCTGCAATTAAAATAAATCAGGGTTAATTCTATTTGCGTTAAAAAGCGCACAGGGGATTCAACTATTGGCGCTTGGGGCTCGCACACATCACAAATTATCCTTAATCCCACAATTCCATGCCGCTTGTTTATCTAAGAGGCATTACGTAAGTGCCTGCTACAGAGTAAGTCAACATTTGGGCTTAGTGCGATAAGCGATTATAGGTATTAGTGTTTATCCTGTAAAAAAAGCTGCAAGGGTACCGCCAGGCTTAGCGATCTTAGTCCAGTCTTAGCAATAAACCTCTCTCTTCTGGTGTAACATGTTTTGCTACACCACATATTTTAGTGACACTTAAATACAACTATTAATTTCAATGTTTACATAAGAGCAACATGAAGTGCCTTGCTTAACCTCTCAAATGTCTGTCGCGAAATCTAGGAGAAAGAACGATATCGATTTTATTCGTCCTTCCCTCCAACGGGCTTATGTAGCCCATCGGGGGGCGGGGGGGGGGGGGGGGCTCCTGCTCCTTCTCCTACCCAATGAGTTTTTCCTAATACCTCGTAGCTTAAAATTACTGGAATACGAAAACTGCCGAGACAAAACCAAGACTTTTCCATGGTAATGGCATGAATATTGAATAAGCGACCATGAAAGAATAAAACACGCCTTTCAAGCGCTAAGCCAAAACGCAAAGCACCTGAGATCCAATCCATTGGAAGATGGCACAAGCCAAATCCTATCTTATCAACAGTGGAAGGCAGGTGAGGAAATCCCGAAACCAAATCCGGTTGAACAAGCTTTCAGAAGGCGTCAATCCACCGATCTCCTCTTTTTACAGCAGAGAATAAAATTGAATGGTCGCCTGACTTAGTAAAGAAAGGCAAAAGTAAAACTAGCGATATAGGTATCCGTATTAGGCGGTAGATGGACCACTGCACTATCTCCTTACAACCGTCATAAGCAACATGACTTCGCTAGCATGGATGCGTCACCAATCGTTGCAGCAGATGGAACCATATTTTACCGGTTTCAGCATTTGTCCAATCCGTAATCAAACCCTTTTAGCCTGACCAACTTTTAGGTCCTCTGCGCGCCCAATATCTAACCATATCTTACAAGAATGAATGTCAAATGAAATAGTCAAGTGCCAATATTGACCACTCAATGATGCAGCAAATGCCATCCAGTCCGGCTCAAAACCAGCATAACCTCCGAATTAGGCTGGCTGAGAGCTCCGGAAAGACCGGCACATCGCCGAGCCCAGTGTTGATGTGGTCGGTATGCGGTGTAGCGAGCTCCTGTAGTAAATACCCCAGCTGGTGCTACCATCTAACGACGAGAGGTGGAAACTGCATTTCAGACACCGCGACCGACATTCCAGAAGGCGAAAATCTCGTCACCAGACTTCGCAAATCGAAGTTCAAGCCCAGCTCGTTTCTGTTCCGCAATACATGTGCCTCCTCCTCCCCTTATGAAACGTTCTCATTTGCGCCAACGGTTTCTTTTCATCTCTTACTCGTGTTTTAGATGCCCGCTCCCCAGGTCTCACGTCCTGAACATCCCCTCCCCCTCCTGCAGCCACCCATGTAATTATCAGAGGCCGCTCTCCTTCCACAGGTCACTCCTCCCACTTCTCAACACTCTCTCTCCCCCACCTGTGCATCAGTGGCCGCCAGCTTCTCCCGCAGCTCCTGTCGCTGAAGTTCCGCT